AAAGATCTAGAAACTAGCAGTGCTTGCTCAATTTGGGATCCACCGTTAGTATTGGACTTTGGACACTGTCGAGAAAACAAAGTAGTAAAAACTAGAGGGGAGAAAAGAGCTCCTTGTATATGATTTTCGTTTTTGAATTAGAGTATTTACTTTAAAAAACGTCCTTACCCTTTGGGTGTAGGAGATTGAGTATGTGATGTAGTGATTATGCATCGAGAGGCAGCAATGCCACAACCAATTTTCACTTGAATCCCACTCTGGCTATTGACTTGTTCTCATGACCTCTGGGACATTCCTTGAGCAATAATGGGGATAGAACCTACACCAGGGGAAGTTACTGGGATTAAGTGAGTCTTTACAAGAAAACCCTCAAAGCACTATCTAGTAAACATCCTATCCAGTTTACTTAAGCAATTCATTACTTAAATAACTAGATATAGGTTATCTGCTGAATGCTATGCTAAGTAAATTTTTCTTGTGCTATCTTTTTGATTGACAGATGGTCACTGTATGTAGTGCTGATTTCACAAATATAAAGTCTTTCATGCTTATGTCCACACACTCCCCCAGTCTTGTTGCTTTCTCAGTATTTCTCTGTGTTCTTTCATGCATATATACGTATGTACGTGAATGTGTGTGTACTTGTGATCTATGTAAAATTGAAGTTCCACAAATGAGAGGAAGCAAAAAATATTTGAGTCCTTTTTTCCAGAAGTAGACATCGTTTTAATCTTTATAACTGTTTCTAAACCACCTTTTGTTTATTTTCTCATCTGTTGACTGACATCTAGGGTGATTCCATAACTTGGCTATATATTACCTTATTTAATCTTAAAACCAGCCTCATGAACTACAAATTTTTATAGGTAAAGTAATTGAGGTTTTGGATGAAAAAATTTATCAACAGGGTCTTATCTAGGCCAACCTTCCAACTTACACTTTACAACAAATGAAAGCAGTAAACCGTTTAAATGTGCTAAAACCTAAGCAGATTTTCTTCCATTCCCTCAAAACGTTTAAATTTAAAGAGAACACACACATACCATATGCCCATTTTAGAAGCAAAGGTTAAAAATATAATTTGAGGGGCTGATGCTCTAGTATGTTAACCCAGAAGATCCTGTTTTTACACATTATTGTTCACCCACTATTTTGGGCGCCAGGAATATAAGGAGGTGAAATTGATATTCTACTGTCAGTTGTTTTAAGATGCAGAATTTAAGTTCTCAACAAAAACAGCATTGCTTTCCGCAAGAGAGGCTGAATAACTTTCCCAAACTGCAGGCTTGCTTAGCTTCCGCTCACCTTTCTTCTTTGCAGGCCCTCTGTTCAGAGCCCCAGAACTGGGCGTGTCTGAAAACGTATTCAAAACCCGCGCTCTGCCAGAGCACTTCCGGGTTTCCAGCTCCAGGCTGGAGAAGCACCAGTGAGACCCGGCCCGTGAATTGTAAGACGGGCCGTCTGTGTTTCTCGCAGCTGGCAGAGTGGTTTCAATGAGCGTCTGTGTTCCGATCTCAGGGAGGTGATGCTGGGGACACCTACTCCTAAAGACGCAAAAAGAATTCGGTCCGCAGCTGCCACTTCCTGGTTGCTTTGCCCTTACCTAAGATGGCGGCTGGATGCCTTCGTTTTGGCTTACTGCGGCTGCTCAGTACACTCTGCCAGCGCAAACAGTTCTACAACCCGCCTCTCCCGCGGAGGTGAAGCTTGGGACGCTGCGTGTCTCCGCCCCGCGGTGTAGCTAGTGGGTGTGCTTTGGAGGCACAGGGTATAGCTAAGGAACAGGAGGGCCCAGGGTCGTGCAGCGCTCTGCCCTTCCCTAGCTTCTAGGCACCAAGCCTGCACGAGCCCAAGGGTGATTTTTTCCGTGGGCCCAATATGATACTAACCAAAGCCCAGTACGAGGAGATAGCCCAGTGCCTAGTGTCTGTACCGCCCACTAGGCAGAGCCTGAGGAAGCTGAAGCAGAGGTTCCCCAGGTAAGTCCCCATCTCCCCTCTCACAGCCTTTTACCTTCAGCCCAGTTCCCGCCACCCTGGCAGTCACAGAAGCCACGTGTCACACACAAATGGGAGGAACATAGTGACGGGTTAGGTCGAAGATCATGTGAATGCTCTCTCCCTTTCACCTGCCTACCATACAGAACACTTAATGGCTGAGGTCCCTGAAGCCACTCCAGGATTTGGAGTTGAATCCAAGTCAATAGATGTTTATTGAAAACCTGATAAGTATTGCGGGCGTGGGTGTGTACACATAGTAGGTGCTTCATAGATGACCAGTGGTTATCTATGGTTAATGGGATCTTTGCAGCGTAAAAAACGTGAATTGGCAGTTCATCGCACTGGCTTGCTGCCAACTTGGCATAGACAACTAAAAATGGTAGATCTAGAATAAACCCCTTTGGGGTTGCCACTGGTTTTACAAACAAGAGGGCCTAGGCCCAAAGGGGGCCTTGTCTTGTTGATGATGCAATGTAAAGATTCTTACTAGAGACGAGGACATTAGTGTAGGTGTCACACTTTTGAGTCTGGACGTTTGGATCTCGAGGTCTGAAGGTTTCTCATTGTGTGCATACGTATTCCCTGTGGGTTTCATAGTTTTCACTTTGATGTGGTATTTTAGGATTTTTCCACTTGCTAGGAAAAGTCTCTTAGAGATTATGTAATAATAGATTTCCCATTTCAAAGATATGAAAACTGAGACCCAAGCATTACTTGAGAACCTGTTCAAAACAACTAGGTTATCATAATTAATATGTTAAATAATACAGAACATTTTGTGCATATTTTTTTTCATATTCAAAATGTATTATGACATTGAGCATAGTTACTCCTAATGGAGAGCTTTCCTATCAATAATGCATAGCCTTCGACCATGTATCACCAGAGATATTTCATTGAGAATGACAAGTTATTGGATAATAGGTATCAATACAAATTGAAGCATATATTTATGACCTGATATTTGGTAGACTAATTTTCCTAGATTCTAAGGAGAAAGGCTCTCCTTCCAATATTGTCTATACTTAAGGGTGATAGTATCCCTCTATAGCTAGGGGATGTTATCATAGTTGCTGTTCAAGAACACAGTTGACAAGTTGGAATTTAATTATTGTCATTAGCTTTTCTGAGTTCTATCTATGAACAGTGGCTGACCATCCAGGGGAAAAGGTATAAGATGTATGTATATATCACATGTATGTTATATAGTGTATAGAATGTTATTGTATCATATGTGTATACATTGCTGGGGAGTTTTGGAGGTTTTTTGATACTTTGCTATCATTACGTACACATATTACTACTTACAAAGGAACATTATTGTATATGTACGTGTGTCAAGGTGTGTGTGGAGATCACAGGACAATTTGGAGTTGTTTTTCTCCCTCCTTCAAATGAGTCTGGCAACGGAACTCACGTAGTCAGGCTTGGTGGCAAGTACTTTGATTCACTAATCCTTAAGTATTTACTAAAATTTAATTTAAAGCTGAGAAATTAAATAAAATACTACTCAATTTGTTTTTGAATAGTAGTATTACTTGTTAACATTTTATGTATAATAGCCATAATTCCAAAAAGGTTGAGACATGGTTGTCTACTTTTGCAAATTTCTTTAAGGTCTGGCTTAAAAAGCTGCATCTATTTTTATACTTAACTGGTTGTCATACTTAGGTGATAAAAGGATAAGAGGAGGGACTGGAAAAATGGCTCATTGAGGAAAGTGCTTGCTATGCAGGTATTGAATTTGGATCCTATAGGAGGTGATCTCTTCATGGTTCCTTTTTTTTTTCTCGAGACAGGGTTTCTCTGTGTAGCCCTGGCTGTCCTGGAACTCACTCTGTAGACCAGGCTGGCCTCGAACTCAGAAATCCACCTGCCTCTGCCTCCCAAGTGCTGGAATTAAAGGCGTGTGCCACCACTGCCTGGCATGGTTCCAAGTCTCTACTGTTAGGTATTTTGGCCAAGGTCACATCCATTGACTTTTGAGAGCCTCCCCCATCCCATGTCTCTGAGACTTCCTCGAGATTTCCCACCCACCCTGCCCCCACCCCTACCCCAGAGGCAGCTGCAGATTTCCATTCACTCCTGGCCATCTGAGCCTCTCTCCCATCTCTCCCCACGAGGTATTTTTCCTTGATTGGTGATTGATAAGAGAGGGTCCAGCCCATCCCTCAGTGGTCTTGCAATGTAAAAGAAAATGACTGAGCAAACCATGGAGAATAAGCCAGTGAGCATTGTCCCTCCATGGTCTCTGCTATAGTTCCTATCTGTAGGTTCCTGCTGTAACCTTCCTTTGTGATGAACTGTAACTATAAGCTGAAATAAACCCTTACCTCCCCTAGTTGCCTCTTTGGTCCCTGTTTTATTATAGCAATAGAAAGCAAACTAACACAGGGACTATTGCTGTGACCCACCCGACCCTCCCTGTTGTAAGGAGGAGGGTTGCAATGGAAGCCCTAGCAGTCAAGAGGTCATGGAGAGGCCCTGTCTTAAAAAATATGGAGAGCCATAGGAGAAGATAGCAGATGTGCCACCAAATGCACATGCACATGTGAGTGTACCCACAGGCATGTGGTCATACACACATATACATTGCCACAGAAAAGAAAGAGAAAGCACTAAGAAACTCGAGCCTTATATGTAGTTGCAAAAGAAAAGAGTAACTTAATAGGCTTTTTAGATAACTGTAGATTCAAAAAAAAAAAACCCACTGTGGTGTTTTTGTTATCCAAAACTTAACAAATGCTAGCTTCTTGAAGACTGTAATGTGGGATAAGAAGCTCATCAAACATTTGTCACCTTTGTGCGTTGTAACCCAGCGGCCTGTTTTGAACTTTAGTGGGTCTAATTTTACCTATGTGATATTGATTTGAACCTTCAAAATGTTGTCACCTTTCATTCTACTGTATGAAAAAAAATCACATTTGCTAATCTCATCAATGATCTCATTAGAAGTCTGTAGGACTTGAAGCTGTCAAGCTATAGTGATGGATATGAGCTTCCTAATATTTGAATTTTCCCTTGAAAGCACAAATTTTACCATTGGCAACACATGCTATTAGTTGTTTTCCTCGAAATGACAGGCTCACGTCATTTGTATCTTAGAAAAACGTCTGCCAGATACCCAAATCTGAATAATAATATTTCATTCATTGTTTATTCAAGTAAGAATTGTATTCCCTGGGAACGAAATGGCTAGCTCAATTCTCAGTCAGGTGAGTTCCACCACAGAGATACCATGATATCTTGCTATGTGGTCTTTGTCTTGACTTCTAAATTCAGCATACAGAATTTTAGGAGGATGTGGTTTAATATTACTAATTAGCAAATATTCTAAAGTGAAGCAACTATTTTATTTTTTAAGCTGAGTGGACATGAGTTTGAATATGGCTGTAGTGCCCTGGCCTCAATTTGTAGTTAGGTATTGTAAGTTAAAGAATCTATCAACTTGAGTGAGGTTGGGTTAATGGAAGGGCCCAAGGGAGGGAAAGTGAAGAGTTGGAAATGTATCTACTGTAGTCTACAATAGGCACAAATATCAATAGACTAGAAAGAGAAATAATATTTTATATTTTTTGTAAAAAAAAAAAAAATAGCCTTGACCTTGTAGACCCTGAGACGGATGTGGGGACTCCAGGAGGCCATTGGTTCTACTTGAACGCAACCACTGACTGTTTCAGATCAAAGCATAGTTATTTCTGAAGGCTGTTGATGGGGGTGGACAAGTGACTTTCAAGAAGATTGCTAGTTTTTTCACCTGCAGAACACAGGAATATCTGTCTCTGCAACTTTTGCCAGCATTTAGCAGTCATTATTTACTCTTTACTGTGTTGAATTAAGAATAACTTTTGGTAATTTGAGCTTATATTAGCTTCTTTTTTCTTTTCTTTCCATTTCTCAGGCCCAGATAGAGGTTTTTATCCAGTCAAAAACAGTAGTATTTCTTTGGCCTATAACTGCACCTAGTGTTTTTAAAATTACAGAAAGTTGTTTAAGTTTATGCATAGTTTTTGTTTAACTTTCCTTTTACATTAATGGAGCCACTTAGTGTTCTGTGCCTACCTTTCTGTGGGAGTATTTGTTTTTATGAAATTATTATTTGTTGGATGAGCTCATGTTGGATGATTTTTTTTAAGTCTTTTTGTTGTAGATGTTTTCTAGTTTGCTTTTAAGTATTCTGATTTTAACTCCCTTAAACTTCAATTTATGCTTCTTTTTTTCCTTTGTTTTTGTATTTATGTTTTAGATTTTTGAGTCTTTTTGTATAACCCTGGCTGTCCTGAAGCTCCTGATGTAGACTGGCCTGGCCTTGAACTCATAGAGATCTGTTTCCCAAGGGCAGGGATTAAAGGTGTGCACCACCACACCTGGCTCCTTTTGTTTATCTGTCAAGCTCTCACTTTGTAGACCAGGCTAGGATTAAAAGCTTGTTTGCCACCACTCCTAGCTCATCTTTAAATTCGTTTTGTTTGTTTTTTGAGACAAAATTTCCCTGGCTGTCCTTGAACTCACCTTGTAGACCAGGGTGGCCTTGAATTCAGATTGGGTTACCTTAGCCTCTGGAGTGCTGGGACTAAAGGCTACCATGCCCAGCTTTACATGAGTAGTGTTCCCAGTTGCAGTTCATTTTGATATCTGCTTAGAGGCATACATGTAAGTTTTCTGCAGCATTAATTTTATTTTTTATGAGCCCGGTGGTGGTGGTGGTGCACGCCCTTAATTCCAGCACTTGGGAGGCAGAGGCAGGGGGATTTGAGTTCGAGGCCAGCCTGGTCTACAGAGTGAGTTCCAGGACAGCCAGGACTACACAGAGAAACCCTGTCTCGAAAAAAAACAAAAACAAAAACAAGAAATTTATTTTTTATGCCATGCCTCCTGAGGGAAGCCTTACTTCCTAGGGCTTTGTTTTCACTAAAATTGCAAAATGATGCCATTTCAAGCCACCTCATTGAATTTAGGCATTCCTTTTTTACCTGTCCTTAGAATCTTCTCCTTAACCTGAGGGATATATCTCAGGAACAGGTCCCCAGCACACACAGGGTCTGGGTCCAGTTCCCAGCATTGTTTAAGAACAAACAGAATCCTCCACTTGATGCAGAGAGGCAGAGCCTTGTGAGCTTTACTACTTTATATTTTGAAATCTGCCCTCATTCTATTGTCTCTTCTCTGCTGTTTAATCGTAGTGGATCTTTCTGCCTTTAGCAGTGTACTATATGAGTCTAGTACCTAAAGCTATTGTCAAGGTTGTATTCACTGTCTATGTTTTATACTTTATTTCCTGGGTTTCTGATTCAGGAAGACATTTCCAGTCCAATTCAATCAACTGTTCCCCCTAAGATTGTGTTATATGCTTTCTTGTACAAACACTATTTTATACATTATATGTGTCTGTAAATATGTTTGAACTTATAGAAAATTTGTAGGAGTATACCAGAGAGTACCTTATGCCCTTTCCTGTAAATGTTAATATTTTGCATGACAGTTGGACAAATTGTCAGAATTCAAAAATAGTTTTAACATGATATAGTCAGTTCCTTTGCTCATCTTTATGGAACTCCACAGTTCTCCCCTGCCCCTCACCCCCAACACACACACACACACACACACACACACACACACACACACACACACAATTGACCTTGTTGTGGCATCATACATTATCATTTAGTTTTATCACACCCAGGAGTTCTCCAGTATGTGAAATTTCCTGTTTGTCTTTCATGATTTTGATATGTCCGGGGAGAGTACTGATCAGTTGTTTCCAAAGAGTCTCCCCCTGTCTGTATGCTTTTTGCTTTCTTTTAATAGATTTAGGGTAGAATGTTTCAGCAACAGCACCCCAGAAATGGCCTGGCCTTCTTAGAGCATCGAGTCAGTGGCATATGATGTCACGTGTCTTCTTATTGGATATAACTTCATTCACTTCACTATGATTTTGCCTGCCGAGTGTCTCTAGGGTAAGGTTGCTACTACTCTTTTTATTGAATGCCTTTGAGATATGACATACAAGTATCTTGTTTCTTATCATACCTTTACTGTTTTCCCAGGGAATTGAGTGTCCATCATACATCTTTCACAAAACTCAGTAGTTATATTTACCTAATAGTGGTTCAGGTTTTACGAGAGTAATCAAGGCCAATATTGTCTACTATTGTAATTTTATGGGAAACAACCCTTCTATAAGGCCATGATATTCATTGGTATTCGCAGAATTTTCCACCACTTTATCTTAAAACATTTGATATACAATAATTCACTATGTATTTACTCCATTTGTGACACAAGGATTAAAAAAACAAGGTGTGCTATAATTAATTTGAGTAGCCTATAGTACTAACAAAACAGATTAAAACATAACTAATATCTCTATATAACAGAATTATAGAATTTTAGAAATTGAAAGATTTCTTGAACAGGTCCTATCTATCTATCTATCTATCTATCTATCTATCTATCTATCTATCATCAATCATCTATCTATGTATTTTGAGATGTGGTCTTACTATGTAATCCTGGCCTGGCAGTACAGGCTCACAGAAATCTGTGTCAGTGCTGGGATTAAAGGTAAGTACTATCACGCTTATCCTTAAGTAGTATTCTTAAAAGAGATATACATTCATTGGAAATTCTTTTTTTTTTTTTTTAAGAGTGGATAGATAGACATGCCTGGTATTTTAAGATACTCAATTTCTTCACAAGCTTTGTTTTATTTTATTTTTTAAAGGTTTATTTATTTTTATTTATATGAGTACACTGCATTGGATCCTATTACAGATGGTTGTAAGCCACCATGTGATTGCTGGGAATTGAACTCAGGACCCCTGGAAGAACAGTTAGTATTCTTACCCGCCGAGCCATCTCTCCAGCCCTGTTGAAAATTCTTTTACTAGTAAACTAAGCCCTCTGACATATGTTTCTGTTTTTTTTTTTCTTTTTTTAAATCATGCATTGATTAGTCAATTGCTTCCAAGTGAGTTACACATCAAACTTTTGAGATCATGACTGTATATACCCTCTTGCTAAATCTTTCCCCTCAGGCACTGGGCTCTGGTTTTTCTAATTGTGCCTTCCAGATTTGTAGGCATGATTTTTCTGTGTTGGTCCCAACATCTACTATTTTCCCATCCTTAGATAGTAGCTTGGGCAACCATTCATTCACAAAAATAGCTTCAATTCCTGTTCCAAGTAAAATCTCAAAATTAGTAGTTAAAAATTGTGGCTAGGTCCCCTCTGCTTGAAAAAATATACTCAGCCATCTTCTTGAGCTCTTCATCTATCTTTAGCTAGAATACCGGAGTGAAGGATGCTTCTGCTATGCCTCTGCCTATGTTGAATTTACTGGTCTTTAGTGGACTTAGGAGTCTAGTCTGGTTAGTTACAGACTAGCACAAAATATTATTTAATTTGTGTTTATTGGAAGTGGCCAGGTTTAATTTGGTTCAGCTGTGAGCCACTGTTGTCTTTGGAACAGCCCCTGTTGCCCACATAGGATGTGCTTTATGTTGTCACATCTTCTCACAGGGCATCTTCTGTTTTATATTCTTGCTTTTTGTAACCATTTGTCCTTCAGAAACCACATGCTAGTGTCGGTCAGTGCTCCCTCACTGTAAGAGGAGGAGACATATCTCAGAGCTCATAAGTAGAGGAAATAGGATTCAAATTCAAGTGGAGTCTGTCTCCTGATCTTATTTCCTTGTGCTTCCCGTTAAGTTCCTTAAAGTTAGTGAGCGTTAACACAGAGCAGGTGAAACACTTGGTATAGTGCAGAACTGTCAAGACTGTAAGGACTGTGAGTGGGATCACTGTTAGAATGATGTCATTTGTCTACAGTAAGTGAAATCTCCGAGTGGTACCATTTTCATACATATGTATACAATTTTGTGTTGAGACAAATAGAAATATTTATGTGGACCAGTTGATGATGTGATGCTGAATAAATAAGATTTGATTATCTGATATTTCAGCAAATATCAGAAACTTGCCTTTTATATTTCAGTGTTTCCTAGTTGATTCATGACACTGAATAACTTTTTGGCTTTGATTCACTAATTTTTAAGAATCTCAGTGGAGTATTACAATGTATTATTGATGTTCTTAGGCTTGGTTTCCATAACTGAAATAGTATTTCTGTTGGCCTTGTTTCTTGAAATTGAGTTGAGTGGTGGTTCTTAATTTGTGGTTGGTTTTTTACACTCTGATAATGTTGTGGTGAGCCCAACTTCCAGAATAACAGGTGACAATGGCTCATAAAGGGAGAAAAAGGCTTTTATTGAACCTGAAATGTTGTTTATGGCTTTGCCAAAGGATTACAATTAATTGACAAGACATTAAAAAGTAGTATTAATTCATATATTCTGCAGCTATCTAGATATACTTCTGTAGCAATTATCGATTAGGATGGGCTAAGAAGTGAATATAATTATTGTATACTCGTCAATAATCTTACAAAGTGTTTTTTTTTTTTTTCTGTAAGACTTCAGGTTCTGATTTTGTTATCATACTATAGGTTAGGTCTCTGTTTTTCTGAGAGGTCGTTTTGCTTCTGTGTGGCCTCTCTGCTTAAGTTTTAGATTTCATGAGATATTTGCACTTTTCTGTATTTGTAGCACTGCAGAGGCAAGATGAGCATGGATTCTCGGTAAAGGAGTATTTAGGAAAACCCTTAGATAGCATCATTCTGACAGCCACAGGTTGATAGTTTTTCTTGTTAGTTTTGTGGGGAGGTTGTTTATATTATTAGAATACTAAATTCACGTTAAGTCATTGTTCAGGCACCATACCTAAGCTCTCTCAGCAATAACCTATATGAGAATGGTAAAGGAGATTACATATTTCCTTAGGAAAAAAACATTGAGGGAAGTATGAGGCAATAATATTTTATTATCTAACTGTGACTTAATGTGGGGTGAATTTAATATTATTTTTTATTTTATTATACTCTTTGCCATATTGGTTGAATTTTCTTTAAAGACAGAACAATACGTAAGTAAGTAATATGTTATAGTTAAGTCTGAAAAGTGGCTTCATAATAAAAGTCATGAAGGCTACAGGGGTGAACACTAGTTTTTGATGTTGTTGTTGTTTTAATGGTGTTGTTGAAGGTAAATGCTGTCAATCTTTTGATGGAAACTGTCTTTCTCTTTTCCACTGATAAGTTGCGGACCCCTTGGGCTGTTTTATAGAGCACACTGTGGCTGATATGAAACCTTAACCGAAGGAGAATAGGGAAAGAGATAACTGGATGTGAGACTGTGGGGTTCTTGGCGCCAGAAGAGAGTGATCTGCTCCCCATGCATCTGAGATGGTTGTTATATAGTGAGCTGGTGTGCGGGGATCCAGCAACAAAGCTGGTTGCGTGTTGATCACGGAGCCACCCTTTTCTGACCACACTGTGAAACTAATACCAACTCCACATTTTCTCTCTTTCCATTCCTCTAGTTAACAGTCCCTCAGAATCCAAATCATGTCAAGGGGCCCTAACATGGTTTTCCACACTTTCAAGTGTGCCACTTGGTGGAGGTGTGGTCTTTCTGTTCACTGTTGATTCTAAACAGAAAATATTTGTTTTCAACCTTCTGCCTTGTTCAGACTGTAACCTAATACATTTTGGGGTTCAACAATAGGATTCCACAATTCTCATTTCCAAGCAAAGAGTAGAAATGTCCCAGAAACTCTTTTTTTTTTTTAATTTCTTTTTTTTTTTTTGAACATGAAATGCTTTTTTATAGCATGTTTTACAAGGGGAGGGGGTAAGAGGGTCCAGGTGGTGGAAAAGTACAAAATCTTCTTGGCCTGTGCCTTGACCAGAAACTCTTTTAAGTGTTTAAAATGTAGTAGTTCAGCTTCCAGATATGTTTAAAACTATTCAACTTAGCAGCCTAAATTTAAGAACATAAGAGTAAATATTTTCAAACAATGAAATTCATGTAGAAAGAAAGTAAAGTAGATTCATGTCTTTTGATGCCATTGTTCAGTAAATATTGCATTACTGCCTTTCTCCACCTAAGTGCTGGGTCCTAGTCTCTTTTGTGATTGTCCTGGGAGCAGAAGTCATGTCTAAGCCCCAGACTTAAAATACCTGCTGCTCCCTGTCCTTTCCCCTTAACTTACTTACATTTATTTAAAAAAAAAAATGTCATTGTTATGACCTAGGCTTCGCTCTTGGAACAAGAAAGAGTAAAGCTAATCTAACTCTAATCTTATGTTTATTCTGTTGGAGGAAATGGGCGATAAAGCAGACCCTGGGCATTTACAAGGGTTATCATTTAAGGCTGTTGAAAATCCTCAAGTTCTCAGTTAGCATCTTGTAGGATATCCAGAGCCTCCAGACCTGCGGGATGAGAGTATTTGGTTAAGCTCACTTATCAGCCAGTTCACTCACTGCTTCCTCAGATCAGCTGTGCTGGATGAAAGATTTGGATGCGCACACAGCAGGCTTATGAGTCACAGTTCATAGTGTGTATGTAATCAGTCTCAGGTAGTGGGAGCCAGGCCTATAGAGATGGAGGATAAACACCTTGGCTTGACATTTGTTCTCGTTGGCATGCTGTAGTCCTCTGAGACCCTGCTGCTTGCAGCATAGCACCTCTGACTCATAGTGGAATAAGACTCTTGTAAGTGTCTCATGTGTAGATAGGATCTCAGAGGTAAAGCAACATTTAATCAGCGTCCCTCCCACCACACTAGAAATTAGACTGGCAGTAAATGTTTTCAATTCTTTTTGTTTCTGTCTACAGTTTCTTCTAGCTGCTATCTTTTGTTTAAGGTATATTATTCTGCTATTTGTTTTTGCTGATAATATTGGTAGGCAAAGCTATAAAATTTGATATTAACTGGCACTTCAAGCCTCATTTAGCTAAGATGGTAAATGGACTGGGGCTATGAGACAGACTCCATTGTATAAAATTTAAAGAACCCACAGACTCTTACAGCCTGCCTGTATCAGCCTACATGGAAC